GTTATAAACCATATATTTGACATCGAGACTTTACTAGACTTTACTAAAATTATAACAGTTTTTTCGACGTTTTTTTTTACCTTTAAAATAGAGATACTACGTAAATTTAATAATTGCTCTACTTATCATACTTGTCGCTATACTCTAAGGGGAAAATAAAACTCTTTCCTATGGTATACTACCCGATATATATATATAAGATATATACCTGATACCAACCTATGTTATATTCTATACCCGATACTTACGTATGATATTTACCTGATACTTACCTTCGATATATCGTATACCTATAGAAAAAAAAAGTGCTTATAACGGTATCTAATAATTAATTATTACCACGCAATCCAAGAGAATACAGACATGGTGACACCTAAACGCATTAACAGGCAAATTTAAGCAATCCTTCTTTTACTAATGCAGAAATTATGTTGTGGTTGGTGATATCATTCGTGAAAGCAGAAAGTGGTCTGTCATTCAGACAACGCTAATGTTTTTAAAACGAAATCGTAATGGCAACATAGAGTAGAGATGATCTACCCATACGGCGATTACTGCGTGTTATAGAAAAAGAAAAAATAAATAATATGAAACGAAGTCAATTAAATTGGTTTGCAGCAGCGTCAAATTCAACAAATTTATAGCACAAATTTACGTGGTTACGCAATTTGCCCCATTACACTGTGGAACGATGGTGTTAGCAAAGCAATTGCACACTCTGACTAACATATCACTTTCAGCAATATTAAAATTAAACTGGCGACGTTTTACATAATGGAAGTAATGCTGACCTACGTGTGGCATTCGACTAGATGCTGCCATCTCTATGAGCAATTTATGAAGGAGAAATGGTGTCGATACGGTTCTAATTAATTTAGTCAACTCCATTAAAACGCGCTGAGAGCTTTTTACTGGAAAGAATATTATGCTAACTTGTCATTAAATAAATCTAAAAGACTCGACGTTTCAAATGAGTGTTTTACATTTATTTTCATCCACTGATCGTTCACCCGTATCAGTATATAATTTATTCTAGAAATAAGATATTTCCATTATAATTACTGTAGGGTTAGCCCATGACCTATATAAAATCCACTTAATAATACAAGTAGTGGTTGATATGCTTGATGCGAAGATTCGATATGGCGTTACGAAACATTCTATCGTTTTTATTGGAGGGGGCAGAAAGGCTGAATCTTATCAGTTGTGCAACAAATATATCATGGTCCCACAGTGTACGATTGGTTGTAAAGTTGTCGTCAGATGGTATTTTTTTTATACAGTGGCGAGTAGTAGTAGAGCTAATAAGCGCTTTCCTGCAAGTAAGTAAGGTTCTCCGCGCAATAGAAATTGGGTATTTGGAGGCTAACGTCTGTATCTTATTAGGAAGCATACGACGGTAGAACAAACACATACTTTCTCTAATTCTACTTCTATTGAAGTATGTTCTACCTGTCGACACAGTCACATATTTGCAGGTACATGCCCCGTTTCAGTTGTTTATGGTTATATTCCAAACTATAAAACTAATAAAATTTATTTTCTTATAGACATCACATTCATACGCAACGTTGCTTAAATATAATGCAACAAGCGTTTACTACCACTCCGTATACGCACATACAACAGTTTGCTACAACTCACAAGCAACGAACTCTCAACACTCAATAAACACGGTTTATCGACCATACAACCGACAAAAGGGGTTTTCACAAGAGCGAACATTCTGCCCTTTCGCACTAACCGTATATCCAAATAAGCGTGAGGTAAGAATTAGGCAACATCATTGCAATCCCTTTTCCGATAATACCATAATCTAATCGAATCTTGCATAATATAATAGATACATATTAATATGTTGTATTTGGCCTTAATAATTTGACGTATCCCCCAACCAAAAAATTTGAGAGTCGCTAGAGGCGGCATCAAATAAAGACGTGGGTAGTTCAAGTGAGTCGACGTCAATCTGCTGTCGTGCGCAAGACAACACCAGCCTCCAACCCCGATTCAACAAGACAGCCTCCCGCTCCTACCAATAATACCAATAGAAGAATACTTTATGTCCGATCACTCTTAACTCAAGTTTGGCTCCATCACCGGCATCAATTAAAAGTCAATTATTGCTAGAGAAGAAGAATGATGCGCATATCGATATGCGTTCTATGGGTAATTGTGAGAATGCTGAAAAGTCCAATACCCGTCAGACATCGTTATCCTTTGGGTTATCCAAATAAGCATGAGGTAAGAATGAGACGATGGTATTGCAATTCCTCCTTTTCGATAATACAAGAATCTTATTGAATCTTGCATATATACATATGTGTATTTGTTCGGTTTAATCTTTAATCCAGATATGCCTGCCATTTGATAAGAGTAATTCGACGTACTTCCCCCTAAAAAAGATATCCTGCTCCTACCAATAGGGACGATACTTTATGTCTGAATCAATTCAGCTTCATCACTGACTGATTTTGATTAATGGTCAGTTATGGCCAAAGAAAGAGAAGAATATATGTTTTCTACGGGTAATCATTGGTGGAATCTGTCCGCCTCAAACACGTATCAATTTTTATCATGTATCAATTGTTTATTATGGATCCACTTGTTTATCATGTATCGATGTTTGTTTATCATGTATCGATTTGTTTATCATGTATCAATTATTTTATCATGTATCGATTTATTTCATATCATTAGATCGTGCGATTGTTGTGTTCTTGCGCCTAGCTAGTTTTTTTTTTTACCACTTTTTTGAGGTGCAGAAAATTGAGCATTTTACTAATTCACTTCACGACATGCTGTATTAATTTTTGAGTTAGGTGATTGATGAAGTAAGTGGTCTAAAGGCATGACTGTGCAATACTTTTACCACTTGGAGTATCAGGAACAAGTTAACGAAACCAAGAATAAATTATATAACTTAGAAATAAGTTACACCAACTACAAGGGTCAGTTTGCATTTTGATTAGCTTGATCACATGATGTTCCATTTAGAGAAACACGTACTGGATATTGTCACGTTACATCCTGTGAGCTGAGTTTTACGTGTATAAGTTAGAGTAGCATCTAGCAGCAGATCATACTTCTGTCGCTGCATAGAAAAAAATAACCGATAATGTTTTCCTCTTCTCGCCAGTTTGCGCCTCGTGCACTACAATATCGTGTCGTCTGTTACCCCAGAAAAGAGTTGGCTCACTTTGTACGAAAGCACCTTTCCACTAATGATGGTGGTGCTATGACAAAAGAACACAGACGGGATCTCCAACTCAAAGAATTGACACAGTGGACAGATGCATTTAACTCAAAGGAAGCAATTAATAAAACAGTATCATTGTTAAAAAACTATCAGATGGAAATTTGTAATCAGTTAGAGCAGAATTATGACGAACATATACAAGACTTGGAGAAGGAGATTAGTCAACTAGTGAAAGGATTAAAAGTAAGAGAAGCCTATATACAAATCTTAGAGAAAAAGAAGAAAGAATATGGAGAAATGTTAGAAAAGAATAAGGAGTTGGCTGAAAACCTGTCAAATTTGGTTGATAAACAAGCAAAGAAGGCTGAGCACGTTCAGTACACAGCAAGACTTTTCAGATGTGGAAGAATTCGCAATGTTAGATCAGCTTTGGAATATATTAGAAGACGAGTAAGGCCAAATCTTTATATATTCATCAAATACTTTTGTTTTTATTCACAATAGTTTTGCTTCAATAGATTGTTTTGACAGAAGGTAAGCCTTTCGAGACAGCCGAACCTGTTGAAAGCGTACTACAACGGTTGCCTGAACAAAAAAGATTCAAAACACTTTTGCAACGTCTATGCCGAGTTTATAACATGCCCATGGAACCGGTAAAAAATTGCCTCGGCGGTCTTTATCACATTTCATGTAAAGGACAGCATGGTTACAGACGTAATATCCTTATTAATGCAAAATATTGGAAAGACAAGGAATTGCTGGCCTTGAGCGTCATATTTTATTACTTTAATATCAAATTTATTTATTGGAACACGGAGGGAAAGGAGGTGCAATTTCCATATTAATCTGTGTGATTCAACACGAGAGCCGTTCAACTCGTAAAATGATTACTCTAAATTTGTTATTTGTATATCGCGAGGCATTCGCGGCTAGTAAAATGTTTATTTCGCGTAATTCATCAGATAACATTAAAATCATAACAATATCGATCTGGTTTTTTGCTGATTAAAAATATCATTGATATTTGATGCATCCATGATCCCAATCTTCTTTTTCTATCCAAAGCAGTATGTATTAAATATTATACAATATAATATAGTGTAGAAGCTCTCATTATTTATTTACATCAACTTATTTTTTTTTGTTGAGTATTCTGCGGTTCCCAAATCGAGCGTTTACACGGCCTTTACTGCTTCAAGAAATATACCATCATTTTTGTAACCGTTTTTCTATTACAAAATATTCTTTTGCGTGAAGCATCACACTAACCATACTCGATGCTACCTACCATCATTCTAATATTGATACGAGTCCACCATTATTTCTGAGAGTAGCAATTTAATTACGTTAAAAAAGATCATTGTTTTTTCTCTTAATGATGAGTTATGTTTATTGTATGGCTATCAGTCAAGTAACAGTAAATGACACTTTTCAATCGACTTTAAAGATGGCCTCTAAACAAAAGTCTGAAGACACGATTAATATGAACTTTCGTCATGTCAACTGAATTGAATTGAATATCCTGGGGACATCTGAACGACGCGATAAGCCGCAAGAAACGCAGTTGCGTTGTAGTTGGACAATTAAGCATTAAGTTGTAAGCCAGCCAATTCTAGTATATGTTCTTAATGTCATTAAGCATCCAAGCATCATAATAAGGCAGTAGAGGGGCGGTCAACGTATCGCTCGAAGACTTTGGCACTTTTGAACAACACGCATCCTTCGATTTGTAAATACCTGAAATCTTTGGAGACACACTTATTGTTGGAAATAGGCATAGTCGCAACAATCTATGTCATCCACGATTCAATTACGCAATCAATTGGAATAGCGTAATTGACGGCTCTTGGTGAGATGTTTTTGTACCTGACGAACAACCTCTTATCCATGAGATAAACCAAAGATTGTGATAGGGAAACAATTGAGATTGAAGAAGTTGCATTACAAAGCATCTGGGCATCAAATCGCCCTGAGAGCAAATAGTTCTTGTCAGGAATGCAATATTTGCAAAGTCAAATAGACAAGCGCGAATTGATTCCTCAAGACAAACTAATTTACAAGGTTATTTCGAGCCTAACTGTATTAATTAAGAAACAACACAGTTTATTATCTTATCGAGTTCACCTGTATTATTCCATAATAGTCTTTATTCTGTGTATTAAATTACAAATCACCTTTTGCGAGTCTTTGCGTCACGATTTCTATCGTAGCTACTCTTCCTACGTCTCTTCCTGTATCTCTCATCTTCACTCTCAGATTCAGTTTCACTTTCACTTTCACTTTCAGTTTCAGAACCACTTGCATCTGAGTCGGTCTCTGACCCTGAAGAACTTGCTGACGAGGAAGAATCATCTTCATCTGAGCCGGATGAGGAGGAAGAGAGTTTTCTTTTCTGCGTCATTAACAATTTTGGAGCATTCTATTGAGCATAAAAAAGTAAAAGGAAAGTTAAGACAGGTCGCCAAAGCCATTAGTTCCACGAACTATAATGAATCAGATTGAATGCTTTTGCAAAAGTTTATGGAGAGTCGTGAACACTGTACACTTGATGTAGCAAACCAAGATTTACAGTCAAATTGATGGCGACCGAGAGACACACTTATGATCATGTCATGGTTGTGTCATGTCACATCGCAGGAACGATACATAATCGTTTTAGGTAATTACGATATATTTACTTCGAGACAGCACATAGCTGAAAGTTCTTGTCCCCGCCATTCTTTCCCCTTAGTCGTATTCCATTGACTTACCTTCAAATGCTCTCTTAACTCTTCGGTTAATGCACCGAGCCCAATGCTGGTAAAGTAGTTAATAGCAAATCGCATATTTTTCGGATTATCCGTCGGGAATAGTCCACCAACGAATGGCTTCATCTCTTCGCTTTGCAATCTCGCCCTCAACTTCACTATTCCAAAGTTACTACTTAATTCTTCAAAAAGAATCTTAACAAAGATTCTCGAACTGCTAGTTGTGTCCTCCTCAGTCAACTGGATAGCCTTCATTACTTCCCACGAGATTGCATCTGTGGCAAGAAGATGACCGAAAAATTTGGAAATTTGCCGAAGGCGATTTGTTTCATATCGATGGATTGTGGTAAAGTATTGGACAAAACATTGTTCAAAGGATCTAGCCCAAACAATGTTTAGTTTGGAAAGACGTTCGCCAACTAGTCCGAAAAATTTCTCGTATGTGCGTTCTTGTGAACAACATTCTATTATCATGTTGGCGAGCTCTAACTAAGAATTGAAAATATGTATAACGCATTATCATCAGTATTGCAGAGATGAATATTGCTATATTACTTGTAATAGTTAGAAGCAATAAATAGCATTAAATAGAAATATTCTTATTGTTGCCTCACTTCAATTCAACTAACCTCTTGTCCTTCTTTTATATTTAATTTCATAAGTTTATGACAGCATTCTTCATAATCCACACTTGATTTTATTGTCAAATATATTGTTCTTCTCAAATGTATTATGCTTGTATTGGTTCGATCATGAATTTCAATTTTTTGAGCAGCATCTGAAATAACAAACGTCATTAGCAAGCAATACTCAACTAGCTCCACCCGTTGTATCATTCTGAAAAGAAATCTTTTCATGCACAACATGTACTCACCTTCGATCCCGCCTTCATCACTATGCTCGTCACTATCCTCATCACTATCTTCATCGCTATCCCCTTCACTCTCTTCCTCAACTTCGCCCAATATCTGTTTTTTAATTTCTTTATACTTCTCTTCGTTTGCTAGGTAATCAGGGTCATATCTGAACACACCCAATTCCTCCTCCACATCCAACTCATCGTCAAGCGCAAGGTGATGTATACACTGCTCGCCTTCCTCTACTAAATCCAGACCATCGGGTATCATTGGGTTTTCTTTGTATTTGTCTTTGCGTAATTGGAAAAGTACCTCAATCATATATTGCACTCTTTTATCGATACTACCCTCGTGAAGAATGGCACGAAAACGATCGTACACGCTGTTGTTAGCCTTTGGATTAACTTCAGCAAGAAGTGCACCTACTTCTCGCATAAAGCCAACAGCTATTTCGACCGAATCGTTGGTAGGACGTTCGAGAAGAAGGACGAGAATTTGGAGAGCGACTAATTCGTCCAATACGCTTTGATTACAGAGATGTGCTATGAACGTAGTCGTTGCCAAGCAGGCTGTCTGTTATGGTTGATTGTGATTGTATATAGAAAGACATACGTATGTCGGTTAGTGAATCGAGTATAATAAAACGGATATCGTAAAGTACTTTAAAAGAATTCATTTTTGATGAGTCCAGGTTGGAAAGTCTAGAATTCCAGTGGCTTATTTCCAAAGATTTACCTTATCATTTCTTCGATAAGCCTTTCTAAATTGCACAACTAACCTCGTGCATAGCAATGCTCCTACTTGCGGAAATTTTGTATTAACAACAGAAACTAATGCGGCATATACAGGAGTAAACGGTAATGATGCAGCTTGAGCTTTCATTATGGATCGTGCAAAAAGACCGCGACCACGAATAAGATTCTCATTTATTAATTCAAATATAATATTTTTTATGTTTGATGTATTAACCTATTGGTTAGTAGAGAAAACAAATAGCTTATTTTAGTAAAGCGTTGCAAGTAGAATCCGAGAAATCAGAATGAAGGCCATATGTAGTTGATAAAGACCTTGTTGATCAAACCGTTTATACTCTTTTTAAGAGCTTCCCAAGTTATGCGCTGATATTCTGCAGAGTTCTTATCAGTGATCTGTTGCTGCATCATTCGCAGGCGTGCCGGCGGTATGTACACACCGCCGGCGCGAGTGTTGATTAGAGTCGTTTCGGTTTGTGCTGTCGACATTGTGTAAGATCTATAGCGATGTGTTCAAAGTTTGGGTTGTAGGCACTCTGTGTATCAACAACGCTACAAGTACATAACGCCACAAATTACTTTTTAGGTAATTCAAAAAGGGTTCGACGCCACAGTCCACATGATAAGTCCTTGAATAATAGACAGCATTACTGGCATATATCCATCCATCCAATTTACCAAGAAGTTAATCGTATAAATGGTTTATTATAAATTAGATTGATAAATAATTCACATAGATACAATAGACGTGGCAACACCGCTCTAAGCAATATTGATTATGATTGAATAGATTTGATCCATCAAATCAGCGCAACTAAAGTATGGGATACATTATCATTATGCTACATTTATATACTACAAGTACACTTATTCTATCTTTCTCGGCTTAAATCTCAACATCAGTTCGTAGCATTGATTCACAGACTCATATGTGTACTTCGGCACAGTATCCGGTGTGGCCAATTCAGGATCATATTTACGGAAGATCAAAGCAATCATGGTTTTCAGTTCTGTCATAGCCAACTGCCTTCCAGGACATATACGCACACCTCCTCCAAAGATTTCAAGCGAGTACCTCTCAATTTTATGGCTGTTGGGTTCCAAAAAGCGGTCGGGATTGAATTCTTTTGGATTAGACCAGTGTTTAGAGTTGTGTTGAATTCCAAGGGTGCAAATTACTATTTGCTGGCCGCTCTGTATAAGTGGAGATAGTGTGGCAATTGGAGTAAGACCATTATTTATCACAATTGACATATGCAAACGTATTTTTACCTTGATAGGATATCCACCGATTACATCATCTTCTTCAGCTACACGGAGATTTATGGAAGTGACAGGCATAAGTCTCCCAGTTTCCTTAATGACAGCGTCAGTATATACCAATTTATTCAAATCCTCATATTTGATTAGACGAGAAAGATCCGTTCCAAGGACCGTGTCTAATTCCTGTTGGAGACGTGCTTTGACTTCTGGATGCTTAATTACAAGGTAGACTATGAAGCAAATCAAATTCGCCGTCTGTTTGTTCACCAATGGACGATTAGAAGAATATAGGCAGTGAATATTGTACAACAGTATCTTGTATCAGACTACTTACCGTATCAATGCCACCACTCAACATTTCTATCAGACTAGCTTTGATATCTTCGTTTGTCAGTGGCTCTTCGACGGTACCATCCCCCCGCTTCTGTGTCATATCTTTCGGTGTATTTACTGTAATCATCAATGTCAAGAAATCGGATTTCAATTGGCTCTTATCGTCAATGGTTTCAATTTCTTTTCTCTTTTTCTGGATAATTTTGGTTACGGACTCATGAAGCCAGTTTAGATTGTTCATGTGTTCTTTTGACTGGCTACGTCCACTAGGGGTTTTAGTGCGAATTACTTCAGGTGTGAGGAGAAAGTATTTTATCGTGCTAGTAAATTTTTGCAATGCAGTAATGAATTTATCCGCTTCGTTGACCACTTCTTGAGGATATGGAGCTGGTTTAGATGGATTATAAGAGTTATATAATGAAGCCATCGTGCAAGCGTGCTTGTCCATTGCTATAAGGAACGTCATGTCTGCGGTCAATCGAGGCATCCACTCAGCAAAATTGAATTCCTTTTTGTCGAAACCTAACTCCATAAAATATCCTTCCATATTAGCAAACGCCTGCTGGACCCATTCTGTGGCTTGTCTAGAGAACTTTATTGTAGTAAGAGTCTGAGCAAACATCTTTCTGTAGAAGTGCCATCGTTCTCTATTCCTATTGAATACTATTCCATTAGATGACAGTCCTAATGCATCAAGTCCGCTGTTGGGAAGGTTTCTGATAAAATACTTGTTGTCTTTTGATGCAGTCAGTATATTCTCGACCAAGTCGGCACGAGCCAGCCAGAGCTGTCTTTCGTTGCCAATATACACTTCCCATACGTCGCCATATTTAGCTTGGGATTCTAAGGCCCACTTGTTAAAGTCACCAGAAATAATTAATTGAGCGACATTGCCAATTAAGGGCAGTGGAAGCGGACCAGGGAATGGGTTGTCACGAGTAAAATATAAGTAATAGAATCTAGTAATGTAAAGTATAAAAAAAGTACCGAATAGAATTAAGACATCCCAGAAAGAGAGAGAAAAAATTAGATGTGTCAATGTTGACATTATGAATTAATGAATGAATGAATGAATCCGATTTTTCTATGTTTTATAGATATAAAATTCAATACTAATACGTGAATCGACCATCTGTTGACACGCGCCTTTTATAGACAGACAAAATGGCAACCTTATTAAGTTTGACCGATGGAAGGTTGTGTGACAATAAGTTACAACCAATGGAGTTTATCCAACATGCCTTGCGTAAAGAATTTTCCGGAGATTACATAACTGTTTAAATTAGCTAGCCGAGTATTACGTAAAAGTGTAATCTTGTGTGTTAATGGTCCTCGTGCTTGTAAAGGACGGTAAATCCGACTATTTGTTGTGTAGATCGAACACGGAGCATATTGATAATGTTCGGACAGTCCCCACTCATTGAACTTAATTACACGTGAAATGTGTGCTATTTATTTGAAACCGAACTGTGAATTGTTCCTCAGCGAGTTAGTTATCTGGTTAATTAAGAGAGCCAAACAAACTCCTAGTTAAAAAGAAAAAAGCATTATTCTTTTGTGCGACTCTCTCATGTTTACATAACTTGTACGCCTTGTTATGTTATTGCTAGCATGCGAATAAGCCAAGGAGATGTTTTTACCAAAGATGGCATAAGAACATCGAATCGAAACGACGAGGAAATAACAAAACTCCGTTTCCCACAAATTCGAGGGTGGGATAACAGAAAGAAAGACTTGTTCCGAATCTTATCCTTTTGCTGGACAAAAGTTACATATTGTGTCCAACAATTATACATCAGCTGGGCATAATACTTGTTCTCGATTGCAAGTTAAGTGGTGGTAAGTAAATTCTATCTATCCGATCCAAAGTATCATTCATAGTCATTACTAATAATATTTAATATTTATCGCATGCCAAATATGGAGATGGGGTGGGTGGAAGACGTACAATGTATTACTCTTCTGAAGTATATTTATTAGAGTCTAACCGTAATTTAGATAAATAAAATATTTATATACATACGTGAACAATTCTGAGTCATGAATATTACTTAACGATTGCAAAGAACCGAAATTTAGCAATTGTTACAATCGTTCCTTTACTTTGTCGAGTAACAGCCTGACTAAAATTCCCGCCGCTAATTAGCCATGGGTGATCGACAGTAATTTTACCACGTAATCGGACATAAAATTAAATTAGAGGAACAAAGTTCACCCGATAACAATTGTAGTACCACCCATGAACCGACGCTTGCTAAGTCCAACTTTTTTGGTTGGCATTTGTTTTTGATTAATGTAAAACAGACGTCATGATCGTTTATGTGGGAAGAAGAAAATTACAAATAATAGTTTAAAAAGAGAAAAATACAAGTACTTAATAAGTCATAAGGAAACATCTCCTCTTCGATTACTGTATTTGGATTAGAAAAATCAAATTACAGAATTGCTTATCCATGCTGCCAATATACTACATATGTGCATGGCATAAACAAAAATCGACTGTTGGAATTAAGATTGTCGAATTAATGTTAAGCAACCAATGTTGTTGTTGATTAAAGTTATAACAACGTATAAATTTTCTTACCAATCGTATGAGTTCAAGTCTGCATAGTCGTTTGATAGGATGTTGTTCTTTTTTCACAAATTTTTGCTTTAATTAACACATAAATTGCCTCATCTATTCTTCATTTGTCAATTTGAAAGTGCCTACTTTATTTATGAAAATAACTCAAAGATATAAAATTAATGCTATGGTATAGCTAATTTTATTTCTAGTACGTAGAATAATCGTAGCAAAATTGTAGACAATGTTATTCTTACGAGTTGACACCACAAATGTTACTGTCTCTAGAGATACTAAAACACGACATGTTTGTTATACCTCAGTTGGGAACCTGTGAACTGAGTGTCTGGGTTCCGAACTGGGACAGTTCCCAAGCTTGAGAAATGTAATTTTTTCCAGAATTAGTTACTACTTTGTTGTAGCTTTTTATAAATGTAAGTGCTAAAGGCAACAATGCTTAAGGTCATGATTTTTTTTAGTTGGCAAAAGTCTTGATTAGGTGCTTATAGAATGTATTGGAAATTTTTTTTTTAATATTTCGCCATGCTATTATTATCCACTACTAGTATTATATTATAATAGAAGAATACTGCTTGTTCTAAACAACTTATGGGCTAGCAAAGTATATATGTTGTTATATGATAATAGCAAACATACGTTTTTCGACAAAAATCTAGAAGCACCTGAAAAAAATTTAATATTAAGTACAGTATATCTGTCGTAAATATTTTACTTATAAAGTTATACTGTACAGTAACACTATAATTATTTTTTCTTAGTATGACATATTTCAAGACATATGCAAAATCCTTTTATGCTGTTAAATTTACAATTTTGGCTCTTTTCCACTAATACTCTATTAAGACCGTTTTCACATTATTAATATTAATGACTTACCATTACTTTTTTACAGCAATCAAACGCAAACACTAGATAGTCTATATTATAATTTATAACCTTGCTGACTATCTTTTTCAACCAGTAATAATTTCAAAGATTTTATTCCAAATTTGCATGTCCGACAAATTTTAGCATTTATCAAAGATTTTTAAAAAAAATTTTATATTATGAAGCACAATTGGGGTAAGGCCTAAGCTGGCAACCCTCTACCGAATCGAAGTTTAATGGACCCACAATTATTAAATATCAATGCACTTGTACTTTGTTCTACATACCCGATAGTTGATAGCAATGCAAACGTTAATGATTGTTTTGCACAGTTGCGAAGATAAAAAGGGAGAGAAGAAAGAACGCCTAAAGTTAAGGACAAGAAAATCTCAATTTGAATGCAAACTATGGGAGTTTACTTGGACGATCACAATGTGGCAGA